CAGGGATCAAGTCACAAAATAAATGTGATGATGAATTATCATCCACTGCATTTTAGCTCAATCGCCACTTAAGTTATTTATCGGAGCAAGAAATATGAGAAATCAGAAAGCCTTCCTCCACAGGATTCGAACTTGGAATGCAAGCCAGACATGCTTTTAATTACACTATGAAGGCACGTATTAAGGAGGGAAAAAATTTCTTGCATGCTAAATATGAAATGGAAGAAATCCATAATAGAAGTAAAATATGCTGACCTAGTAAAAACATGTCTTTTTGGGAGAATTTTAAAGCACTGCTACAGTTTGTCTTTAATTTTGTTTTTTTCTTTCCTTTCTGTAATACACTGATCTAGATATTTAACTTCTTTGATAGAATGCTGATGTTCCACCAATTCTTTTTCAAAATAATTTAACAACTCATTTTGTTCATGCGTTTGTCTTCCCCCCTTCTTTCTCTTTTATTACATCCAGATCCAGATCTTCAACATTTTTCTTTTCATTAATTGATGCAGCTACTATGTCTACATCCTTTTATGTGCATACTTAAAGAATGCATCTTCTTGTTTTAAGTCTTCTTCCTCTTTTTCCTGCTCTCTCTTCTTTCTGGAAACCATGACTTTTGCTTATAGCTCACATTTGGTATTTTGTGAAATTTTAATTATTTATTCTGACCATTCATTTGTGTTAACATTCATGAAGTACTAATTTGTAGAACAAATGAAAAAGTGTTAGCGGCAATTATAGCTAACAACCTTGAAATATGGAAAATCAGGAAGTTCTTGTACTCTAAACTGAGAGTTTCAACGATGTTTTTGAGCTGCGTGCCTGCATCATTTCTAAGGAACTCCGAATTAATTTATGAACATAGAGGTGCGAGTTAGCTGTGTGCAAATAATGAAACCTGTCATTGTTTTCTAGAACATGAATTTTGTATGATTCTGTAAATAAAGTCTTTTTGGAAAATTTTTTACTGATCAGTATTTTTCTCTGACAGTCTGCATAATAACGCTTGTCTCAAACCTATTTTAAAATTGATACTTTACTTTTTGTTACATACAAATTTAAACATTTCCAGAGCTGTCAGCCTTGAAATATGAAAAACCAGAAGCATCCAGGAGGTTTCCGTACTACGTAATGGCAATATTTTTTTTTAAATAGGGGAGAATTTAATTTGCTTTATAATGCATAATTCAAATTATTCAATTAATTATAATATTATTCAGATGTAAAATATGTTAATATTTAATTAGATATTACAAATTCTGTGTTCTTTGGCTTTTATATATTAATTTGGAATTTTCTTATATTTCTATACTGAGAAAATGCCTGAGTATAGAAGGATTTTTTTTTTTTTTTTTTCAAATGGCTTTTAAATACAATAAAATGAAAGAAAGAAAATCTGACTGGATTGATATTTGAATGTATCATCAGAAGGTTTGTGAAGATATTTTATACTCTCGCTAAGCTCGCAGTTTGAACTCACTCTAACTAACAAATTTTTTCGTCTCTTTTAAATTTATTATTGAACATCACTTTTTTTGCACTCATGCCATATAAAATTTAACAGAAATTCCAAAACTTTTATAAGCAGCCAACTTTTAGAATTCATGATAGAATATAAAGCGTTGGCATACACTTTTAGCCCAAAAACAAAACATGATTTTTAATTGATTCACTTTAAATATCGATTACTGTGAATGCATCATTTAGCTTTCCATTTGAATTTATTGCCTTTTGGCAAAATGTAAGATATCTATAAGAGCAATTTAAAAGCAATAGATGCAGTTCTTAAGAATATAGTTCTTTTACCTTTTAATCTGATTGACTTATAAAAAATGCATTTAACTCATGATATATTTAATTAAGAACATTAAATATTTTTACATAATTACAATAAATATTTTTTTTTTTTTTATTTTTTCACATATGTGCAAGATATAATGATGTTCTGCAAGATGTATGTTCCCATGTTAGTTTTTAAAATGTATATTCATTTAGTATCCTATAAAATGCTCCACTATTCCATCTGGTCCATTTCTATCGATAATCTATAACAGCCCTTTCTGGACCATTAAAATCTGAATCTTTTCAGAATTTTTTGTCTTTTCTCAGTTCACCATATTAACTTTTCTTAACAGGATGACCTACAACACATTTTTTTTTTCTTTTTAACTTTATTATTAAAAATCACATATGCCACATACAATTCATTATTAAAAATCCCTTTCTTCACACTTATGCCACATAAAATTCAAAAGCGAAATCACAAAATTTTTAAAAGTTGCATATTTTTAGAATTCTCATTACAGTGTTAAGTGATGCCCTTAATTACTTTTTCATTGCTCAGTTCATCGTGTCAAGGTTCAGTTTTCTTTATAAAATACCTTGCACAACTTTTGTCTTTTTACTTATTAAACACCACTTTCTTCAGACTTACATGAATAAAATTCAACAGCAAAATCACAAAACATTTAGAAACAGCATATCTTTTGAATTCTGGATACAGCGTAAAGTGTCGCCATACATTTTTTTTTTTTTTTTTTTTTTATATTCGCTATATTACTTCTTTAAAAATAATACATGGCAATAACAATGCAATATCCTTTTATTTGTGTTCCCGTGCATTTTATAATATTTGCTATATTATTTCTTTAAAACTAAAACATGTCAAAAATATTTAGTGGCAACATTCTTTTATTTAAAAAGTGATATGGACATAAAAAGTGATATGGACAGAAAAGTTAGGACTGAGACTTCAGCTGAAACTTCATAAAAAGTTCTACAGATGTTTTCATAGATAAGACCAAAAGAAGTTTAATAAGAAAAATTATGAAAACACTAAATGAAAATAACAAAGGATGGAAAATAAAATTTGCACAATTTAAATTTCATTTATTGCTGAAAAATGCCCCCCCTTCCCTTTTTTTAGTAAAGTCTAAAAATTAAAAACCAGAAGATTCGGTGATCTACCAAGAGACCAGGAGATGTGATGAATAAAGTCTCCCAGTAAAATCAGGAGAGTTAGCAGCTACGTAACAGCAACTGCAGTTGCACATGGAATTAAATAAAAACTGAGTAGTTTCATGCATTCTGTACTTTAAATGCAATACTACAGTTTATGCAAACCTCACTTTGTTAAATCATGTTTTTAATGCCTTTACTTTTTTAATTAGCAACAATAATTCTTAACATTAACTGCTTAAGTGAATTTGTCTGTTAAAAATTAAATTTCAGCTGATAACAAATGTTTTTTCTAATTCAAAACCATTTCTTTTTTATAATATATATATAATTAATAATATACCCATTCTTTGCACAGTGAAAAAGAAAACTATTTAAAGATAAAGCAAAATATTAGAAAACATTTATGAATTTATAGCCTGACAATTAAATTATAGAACGAGTTTATAAAACAAAAAATAAAAGACCATTTGCATCAATAAATGAAGTGGCATGATTTAATAAAGTAGATTTCTTTATGTGGTCTAAAGATTCCACTTGACAAACTTTGGGAAGCTTTTAGTATCAACAGACAAGCATCTTATCAACAACAACTTTCATTCTGGATATAAAAAATAATTAAAATTTGAAGTACAAGATGGATACTTATATGCAAAAACTGCTGTACAACTACTGTTTTGGTTACACCAGCGCACTTTTGTAAAGAAGAAATACTGAATATTCGGGTCAGACTCAGAGGGTCCTCTTCCATATGCATCACAGAACTTAAGTAAAGACTGCATTGACAATTATCTAGCAGAAATAAAATCATGTTGAATAACTGCCGTGCTTTTTCAAGAATCGGAAATACATCTTTATTTCCGATTCTTGAAAATGAATTTTTCTTTAAGTGATTAAAGTGACATCTAATCAGAGCTTTGGCATTCAGTTGTGAAATCTCTCTCTAATCTTATTAGTTGCATATCTCTTAACTCAGCCAGAAAAAGATTGAGACTCCCATTTTTCAACTCATCTTTTGTCAGGTATCAGGCACCTCTGTCAAACACACCAAACCCAATGCTTCCTAGCTCTATTCGTTTGGGATGCTCACTTTGTTTATAAAGTCTAACTGCCCCTCAATACAGTTCAGATGTAACTCTTTAGTATTGAGAATAATTAAAGTAGTTAACGTTATCAGAAGTTTAAGATCAGTAGCCTGTTCCCCCGCTAAATGTTTTTTAAGATGTCCCTCCATGAGTACAGCCATATTGACCACCGTAAGAGCCTCTCTGAAGGTATAACCTTCAAGTATGTCTCGTTTGGCAGTCTTCAGGGCTGTATTCTGCTTCATCTTTTCAGATTACCTTTTTTCAACTTTTCCCCTCGGGTTTTTCATTCCAAGTACCCTTAGCAATTTTCAGTTCTTGGGCATATCCCCCCTCTAGGCATTCTCTTTTTGATTTTTATTTTGTCTAGAGACATGCTTTTAATAGCTTCTTGCCCTTCCCCAGTTGTTGATTGACTAACTTGAGTAGAGGTCATTTCTACCTCACTTGATGGAGGAATCATTTCTGCTCCTTCAACTGATTTCCTCTGGGTTTCAATGTTTTGAAAAGAAAGTCTACCTCAGAGGTTTTGTCTGCAAAAGCAGAATTTCTAGTTATATTTTCATTTTCAGCCATATATATATATAAACTAGAAAAGAAAGGATAAAAAAGGTCCGCCCTGTATAAATATACAAACAATAAAATATTTAATGCCATTACTAGATAAATAATGCTCATTATATATGAATTCCTGATCAGTCCAGAAAACATACCCTGTACGTGCATTATCAACGGTTTTTATATTAAATATGAATTTAAAAGGATACAAAAATATCCTCTTTTCTAATATTTATTTTCATTAGATCGCAATTAAATATAAAAATGCTTTAATACATAAATAATAACATTAAAATAATGGGTGCAGTATTTTATGCTTTGATTCTTAACTTATTTTGTATAGCATACCTTTTAGAATTCCAAAGAATATGTTGAATAAGACCAAGAAAATTCATCTCAAAAACATATAAGTAATAAATTTAATGCAGTGCCAATTTACAGCAAATGCATATAAAACACCTTGTCCTTACAAAATAATAATAATAAAAATAAGTACATTCATTTCTCTTCTGCATTTCCTTTCTTAACAAATGCAAAAACAACATACATACCTGAAAAATAAAGAATTCTCTCAATAATTAATATTTATTATTCAGCTCATAAAATACAAATATAAAATTGAATAAAAAGAAAAAATTGTTTAAAATGTACAAATTTTCATTTTTTTTCATATGAAAGAATTATTAGTTAATTAATGGTTCAATTACTTATAAAATTTTTAACTAACAGTAAATCATATATATAATTACACTAGTATCTAATATTTCAAATCAGTAATGTGACACTCTATAGCCAGGACAGTAATATAGAGATGTACTGTAAAGTCTATATTAGCTGTATAATCAGTAACCTCTAAAATTCAACTAAATTCAGTCTTAGACTAATGTGCCTTTAAAGAAAAGTGCTAAGCAAATAAGTTTTGCAAAACATTTTTAAGCAGAATCTTAGAAAATCTATAAAGGAGACTTAGGGAGAAATTTTTGTGAAGAATAGAATGGATAAACAAATACACAAAAATTTTATTAAAAATGATGACAATTTTTTAATTTTTTAAATTTCTCTATGATTTTTTATAGATAATTTTAGTATTAAAATGCATTCATGATATTAATAATTTCAAGAATAAAAAATTTAACAGTTACTTTTAGCAAAAAGTAAAAAGGCTCATCCATAATTAGTTTGGCACTATTTTCAAAATTTTAGTAAGCCTAAAACTCATATAGGCTACTAATATTTCATTTGAGACATACTGATCATTAAAAGCAGAAAGATTTATTAACATATTAAATAATTAATGATGCTTTTGAAAGGTGCCCACCACACAGGCTCTTGTCCTCAAGTATTTTATCATAATTCATGAACTTAACTTAGCCTATATTTCAAATTTTTGAAAATTACAATACAAATTTTATGATTCTTATTCATAAGACTGTCATGCAATAGTGCTAAAACCATTATCACTTGCTTTAAAAAAATTCTATTTTCAAATTATCATTTATCTTGCATAATAATGGAAATTAACAGTGCTTATCTTTATCAAACACCTTACATGGTATACAATATAACATGATAGACATGCTTCAGTTAAATCAGATTTTCACTCAATTACTATCATAATAATTAAATACACATGTAATAGCTACTTACATACAACTTCCCATTCAGACTGAGATAAAGTTCCCTGCAAAGAGGGGAAAATTATGATAAACAAATATAATCTAAAGAACTTAAACTGTACTAATCAGTATTTGCAGGTAACATACCACCATAGAGCAAAAGCAAACATAACATTGCAATACTATATGAATTCACACCAATAAAATAACTGGTACTTTCTGATCACTGGCTGGTTTTGGCCAGTGCCATAATGCTGAAGTGCAAAAAGTCTTACAGTGCCGAATTGTACAATCCAATTTTTTAAGTGATAACAGATTGTTGTATGCATGGGGAGAACAATATCACAAAGAACAAGGATTTCTCGAAAACGGTAAGTGCTTCATTACTGATGTTTCCAGCTTTTTAAATTTGACTAATTGATTGCATTTATAAGTAATTTTAAGTGGGTCACCATTTTAAAAATGGGTGTTAACTTTCATACATTAGCTTAGCATAAAATTAGTTGCAAATTAGTTGCAAATGAGTTTGCAAATATTTTCTAAAGTCGGCAATTAGTCTGCAACGTTTCCTTGGGGGTAGGGATTATCAGAAAGTACCAAATATTTTTTTCCATTAATCCACATGAATTCAAATAACAATATTTTCATACAAAATTTGAAGCTTTTATGAATAATATATATCAACGAAGAAAAATTACTCTTCTAATTTATACAATCAAATACCTTATGGCCCAATCAGATACAGTACAAAGTCTTTAATCCAGACTCGTCGGGACTTCGGCGATTCTGGATTAGGGTTTTTTCCGGATTATAGATCATCAATTTAAATCTGGTAAGATGGCATGCAGAAATTATAAATTAAAAATATGAAACCACAATTTATGAAATAAAGAGCAATTATGATCTAAAGGGTATCAAAATTTACAAAAAAAAAAAAGCTTAATATTTATTTGTTTACTTTATTAAACATTTCTTCCAATGTAAGTTGTTTAAGTAGCTTCATTTTATGTGCTAATACTTTCTCTTTAATTCTATAAACAGACATAATTTCTTGTTCAGTTACAGTTCTGCTATTCAAGTCCTGTAATTGCTGTGCCAAGAATACCGACTAACTTGTCTATCGAAATTTTTTTGTTTTCACTAACCTCTCTGTCACTTTCTTCATGCCCTTATCCATTTTTTGCAGCAATTCCACTTTTTGTTTGATGGACATCGAAACATGCTTTTGCTTTGTAGATCCTTTGACAACTCCAGAATCGGAAACTCTTTTTGACATAATCAAAAGTTCAAGCTTACTTTTTATAAAATTGCTCTAACAGTCTGCAAAAAATAATAAACTGGATCCAATTAGAAGATTAAGGAATAATGCAATCTGCAACATTAACTGAAATAGATAATTAGATAATTTTAGCCTAGATTATACTGTCCATTATACATTAAATGTGCATGTGTAAAGGTATTATGTGCATGCGCAGAAAGTTTGTAGCTTTGAGGTCCGGATTATAGATCATTCTGGATTATGGACATCCGGATTAAAGGCTTTGTATTATTAAATTTATTACAGAATATTTCCTTCAAATTAATTGTAACTAATTACAGTAATCAAGTTCCAACATCCTAAAATACTACCACCAATTACTTTTTACTTTAAAATTGAAGTACTTACATATTAATGCAACCACCGTAGTGCAATTTGGCAGTTTTTTACAGATGAAAAGGTTAAAAGTTACTTATTAGGTGCAAGTTAGTAGTTTTCATACTTTTATCCCTGAAAGCAATCAATGTTTATTGTAAGTCTGTAAATATTATCAACATATGCACAGGAAACATACTTCAGCAATTTAAAATGCAAATTTTAATTACTAAATAAAGATTACATAATACATTAATAAAATAAAACACATTTTTCTTCAAATCTTTCTGCAATTTTTTTCCACTATTCTTTTCCTGAAGTACACAACGATCTGTTTTCGCTTAAAGAAACATCACAGAATTGCAAAGATTTGGCTTCAAGAAAATCTCAGCAAGAGAGGATATCTAGGAAATGCATTTCCTCATTGTTTCCTAGAAAATTTTCAGCAAAGTCCTGTATTCTTGTAGAAATTTTACCACAGTTTGTTCCACTCCTGGCAAGTGTCATAAGTTCATATTTTAAAATTAAGTCATGGCAAACATTTGAACTTGGAATGCGACAAAAATGACTGCATAAGAAAATGGTGGCATTGCTTGACTGAAAGATTGCCAGAAGAATGGTTATGTGCAGAAAATCTGACAACTTCTACCAAGGTGGTTGTGTTAATATATAAGCATCAAAATTGATAACAATAACTGAACTGATTACAGTTATTTCCAAATAAGAAATTAAAAGATACTTACAACGTGAACTGATCGATCATGAGCTTTTAAAAGAGATTTGACCTTCTGTTCTGCATGATAATATTCATCATCACAGCCCATTAGCTTCTGACTCCTTCCTAAAGGAGGATAAGTCTGTGATTTAAAAAAAAAAAAGAGAGAGAGAGAGAGAGTGAGAGAAAGAAAAAATCATTACATTAAATGTAATAATATTTGAACAAGCTTTTTATTTAATCATCTAAATACAAGGAAGAAAATTATAAGATTTAAATTTAAAATGTTATAATAAATTATACAAATAAGAGCACAGGAAATCATAATAATAAGAAGAACAGTTATTTCTAAAAATCACTATTATTCTCAATATCTTTAGAATTTAAATAAAATTTTCAATTGATTTATGGAGGTTGAATTTTATGTCTCTTTTAACTTATACTTTTCACAAAAATGATATACAAATAAAATGTTTTGAAAATTACTTCTAAAGCTTGCATTCTTGTTAAAAGAAACTGTCCTTCTTGTATCTCACATCGATCTTCAAAGTAATCTTCAAAGCGTGTGCAAAAGAGAAGTTCTAAATCCACTTCTTGGGCTAACCTGAATATACAAATTTGAATGTAAGTAGACATTTTAATATGTTATTTATTGACATTTGCTACTTATGACATTTAACATGCCATTTATTTTAATATGCTATAATCGTTGGTTTGAAAATGCAGTGAAGCTTAATAATCTGTTATCTATCAACCACCAAGACAGTTTGATGCACAAAATGACTTATCAAAAAGCAAAAAATAACAAGTGCCAAAATAAAATAATATTAGTTATGAAAAATTAACTAAACAGTTTATAAAACATCAGGTATCACAAAATGAAATATCCACAGAAAATTATCTTTGCATTAAATTGTATGTTTCTATTTTTAAATATAACTAAAATTATGAAGATATTTTTGGTACACTGAATTTATTATATATGTATTTGTTGGCTATTGTAAAAGATTAAACACACACACGCACACACACACACACACACATATATATATATATATATATATGTGAGTGTGTATGTATATACATACACTACATACATATACACATTATTACATATAATGTATGTAAGAAAAATAAAGAATATGCAAAAGATTAAATTAACAACATAAATTTCCTTTCTAAATCGAAAATTCAATTCTAAACATAGTAACCTCTCTTTGCACTGTGTCATTTCCAGAAAAATCTAATTCTGATGATGTAAATGGAACTGAAACCAAAAATTTAACCTATCACAGTTTAGCTGTACTTTGTGCACCTATCTTGTATAAATAGTTAATAATTGCATAGTTTCTCTCTCTTTCGCCTGCATGCTGTCAGCTTTTTGCTCAGTCTCTGCTAGCTATTTGTCATTATATAAAATGTAATTGCATATCTATAATTATGGGGCATGTTTAGCACCCCTACTTAAGAAATTTGTCATTCCAAAATAAATTATGTTTAACTATAGTGCTTCTACAAATTCCATGCAATCATCCACTATGCCGTAATGTCTAGTCATCTATGCAGCCATTCTCTGGCCATGACTAAAAGTAAATTGTTTTCATCCTCTGCCAAAAAGTAGGATTATTACAGTTTTTAACTGACAGGATTGGCATCTCAAGTGCAGGCTCACCAATGCAAATTCATCTGTGGAATTATGTTAATGACAACATTTGAAGCTTTGCTATGATAATGAATTTTTTTTTATTCTCCATCATATAAACCATTGCTCCAGAAATAGAAAACAAATCTGATCATCCGCAGTGCTTCAAAAATTAACCCAGCAAAGTGTTTATATTAAAAGTCATTTGATGAGTGTTCTCAATGATACAGTGTATCGGCGTTCCAAATTATTTCAGCATTACAGCAATTCCAAGATCCTTAGTCTGCTTATGCTATGTGCTTCAAGTGTGTACACGTGAGCAATTTATTTTCGTTTTCTTATTCACATAGTCTGTAAAACGAAAACCGAAAATTATTATTTTAGAATGAGGTTCATTTGCAATGGAACAAAACCTGAATAGTGCTATGGATTCTAAAATTTCACACAAAATCTTTTATGAATAAAATAAATTAATGCAACTAGAAATTTGTACTTTATAATCATATATAAATTGCTAATCAATGTGTATGTTTAATTACCGTTATTTCAGTGAAACAAACCTAATACTGGTTCAGTGATTTGTAATTGAGTGCTGCTTTGAAATTTAGTGTTCATATTAGATTTTAAAATTTTAGTACCATTTTTTATTGGTTCAAGTTTTATGATACTAAAATATTTAGTTTTCCTAATTGTTTTACATAATTAAATAATGAATTTAAAGATTTATAATTATTTTATTTAGGGAAGGTTATTAAAATTACTTTAGTAATAATTAGAAATGTCATTACTATTCAAAAATTTAAAGTTTAGGAGTTGATTTATTTGAAAAATGAATGAGTTAATTTTCAAAAACTGGTACAGAAGTGTTTTGAATATAATTTAGAAAATATGTAATGTCTATAATTGAGCTTAGTACACTGAATATAAAAATACTAAAAATTTTAAAACAAGAATAAATGCATGTAAGGAAAGAGTATGATGAGGGAGTGCTGGTTCAAAACAGAGGCCCTGTTTTTACCTGTCATTTGTTCTTTTACCCTCCTCATATCAGAAAATATAAACTTTGGAGGCTCCCACCTTATTTAAATTTTTCCATAGAAATATTTTTTATAAATAAATGGATTTTTTTTTTTTTTAAATAAGTGGAATGTATAGTGCATTTCAAAAGGCCAGTTGCCCTTAAACAAGGAACAGAAGCCTTTATAAAAAACTTCCAGAAGCAACCCTTAACCACTTATGAAAATTCAGTACATGAGTTCGTTAAAGTGGTGATGCCCCAATAGCTGGATATGTGTGTATTAGAGAAACTTGTGGGGTCTTCTAGTTTTGTGTAAAATAAGAAAATTAGCAATGCGACAACAATCGTAAATCTATAATTTTAGTAATACTTTAAAACTTATGATGTTAAACTATAAGTTATAATAATAAAAATTAGTTATGTTTTGAAAATTTTGAATTTTTTTGTGATTGTAAAAAATTTTTACAACTGTGATATTGCGTTCAAAGTTTTGCAGAAAAAAAATTATTAAGTCAAAGGGTTTTAAATTCTGATTAGAGTAGCATTCTGTTGCAATATTAATAGGACACTTTTTCTTTTACCCACATTAAACCCTCAGGGGAAGTTATTGGCTCATTTTGATTGAATTAGAAAAGCGTTTATTATTGGAAAGTATTTTTATACTTAAATTTTGATAGTCAATAGAAACACTTCCCGGGGTTTGGTACCTTGTCGTGGTCTGAGGGCTCCATCCACCTCCTAAGGGAGGTGGTCTAAATCCAAACCCCAAAAGAGATTGACAATGGATAAGAATATTTCAGACAGAGACTTCTGTGCAGAGTGATTTGATTGAAGAAGCTCGGACTATAATTAGCGAGCTAGAGACTTGTTTGGAAGATGCAAGTAGAATTACAATTGCAATAAGAAAGAAAGTTTTTAACACACAAGAAGTGTTGTTTAGTTATTTAGTATCTCAAGCATTGGAGATCGAAAATTTAAAAGGAAAACTAGAAATATTGGACAAGAAACCAAAATATGAAAGATCTTTTGCTGATGTTTTAAAACAGCAGAAAATAAGTGATAAGAAAACGTATCAGAATAAAGGGAAAACTAAGAAAATAGAAGAACATGTTGTTCTATTGTATCCAAGTAAAAAAGGAATTTCTTCTGAAGAAGTTAAATCAAAAGTGGTAGAAAATATTGATCCAGTTGAGTTGAAGACTGGTATTAAAAATGTTAGAAAAGTAAATAATGGTGGATTGGTTGTACAATGCTCGAAAAAAGAAGATATTGTTTCATTAGAACGAGAAATAAAAACGAATTCTCTTTTAAGAGATGAAATTCAAGTAAAAGCTCCTAAAAAGAAACAACCTAAAATTATATTATATAATGTGGAGGAAGAACTGGATAAAGATGAAATTCTGGAAGCAATTAAGAGACAAAACCAAATATTTGAAAGTGGTAGAATTGAACTTTTGTTCAAAATAAAAGCCAAAAATCAAAAAGTACACTGGGTTGCAAATATTCAACCAGATAAATTTGGTCTGATTATGAATCAAAATAAAATTAATTTGAAATGGTATAGAATTACAGTAAAGGAATATCTTAATGTTGTAAGATGTTTTAAATGTCAAGAGTATGGTCATTTTCAAAGTAAATGTGACAAAGATTTGATATGTGGTAAATGTTCAAAAAGGGGACATAATTATTGGGAATGCAAAAATGAATCTGAATGTATCAATTGTGTACAAGCGAACATTAAATATAAATTAGATTTAGAAACTAAGCATTCAAGCTTAGATAAAAATTGTTCCTGTTATAGAAGACAAATGGATCTTATAATAAAGAAGAACTGACTATGGTTAATGTTCTCTTAAAAAAAAAGAAAAGGAAGGAAAAGAAAGAAAAAGGAAAAATGGTGAATAAAATTGGACTATGAACTATTATTGACAATTGTAAATTTTATGTTTAAAAATGTTAAAACAAATTGAAAAAGTTATTCATTTTGTTATGAGGTCTCTGTGTATTATAAAACTTATATTAGATTATATATTATTGTACAAATAATCTTATTACGACAAAAATGTCATTTTTTATATGTTGTATTATTATATGGAAAAGTGTTCTATTTCCTAAATTAGGAATATGTTAATTTTAATTTGATTAAAAAATATGTATTATTATATCTTTTGTTGTAACAAGTTGTTTCATTAATAAAGTATTTTAATTTGTTGGCGAGGTTAATGGATCTTCCGGCCAGTAACGAGTACAGTATGGTGGTTGATTTTAAATCAATTAGTAGTTTCAATAAGCCCTGCATATACCTTTAAAGGTTCGCAGGATTAAATACCAGTCATTACCCACATTAAAAAAAAAAAAAAAAAAAATATAATACATATCACTTCAAGCAGGATGACATATTACTTCAAGTAGGATGAAGTTTACCATACGCTGTGGGTGCAGATGTAAAGATTTACTTTTAATAAGATTGATGAAGTGTGCAGTTTACAAAACCATTTAAAGGTTGTCACTTAGTAAAACACAAATCGTTACTTTTTTAAACCATACATCAAAAACATTAAAAAATTTACTGCATTTCTTCAAACTAGTTTAAGGAAATGGATAAAAAGAGTTATGATGATTCTAAAAATCTTGCAATGAAAATTAATTTAAATATAAAATGAATTAAACATATTGTGCCTGCAATTTTAGTAAGAATATAACAATTGCAATAAATATAACTATTTATTGTACCAATGAATATGCAAATATCAAATATGGATATGCAATCAGAAAAAGTTAAAATATTAAATCAATTGATATGCTTGAGCTAATAAAGTGCCCACTCAGTATAATGTAAAACATTTATGACCATTAAATTCCAGACTACTACTTTACATACTAAATTAAAACCTAATGCATCAAATTAATGAATTTACTTACTCAATTTGGTAAGACATCCCTTAACCCTGGTCCAACCCTGCAAACATAGCCAGATGCCCTTCTGAGCCTAAAGCCCCAAGTTGGGCATCCCTCCCCTACACAGTTGCCCAAATATTTACGAACAGATGAGGTTACTAATCCATGTTCCATTCAAAAGCTTGCTCTCCTACATTAGTATTTCTCTCTCTGAGGTCAGAATGGGGTGGTCAAGTCCATGTGATTTTCTTGAATGTAAATATAAACAGGTGCTAGCTGGTGAAAAGAGAAAAATGTGGCCTTTTAGCTCATTTTGAAGTGGTTGTTTATAGTTTTGCTTCTATTTTAGGATGGGATTTTATGAGATATTCTATAGCATGAGTTTTACTTTCAGATTCATTTGGGTAGCCATGGCTAAAAGACCAGGTTATCTTTCTGAGGAGAAAATATCTAAAGTTATAAATGATCCATCTATGGATCTTTCAGACGATGACAGTTAAACAGCTATAAATTACTGGAGTTTTTCATACAGTAGTTCTGAATTAGAAGATGATAATAATAGACATGCATGATTGAAATTATGCATGATAATAATGCAATGTCGGTCTCTACATTGATCCACGGTTTGAGAGTTTTCATACGGCTTCGAAATATTAATTATTACTATATTCTTCAAGTATTTCATAATGTTAAATATAAATATTTTTTATGTTTTTTTTTTTAATATTTTGAATCAACATTTTGTGTTTAATTTATGTACTTTTAGTTATAGTAAAATACAATATATTTATATTGTTAAATTTCAATTACTTTAATTAAAATTTTTTGTTACGATTGAAATTATGATATCTTTAATCACATATTTAAAAAATGGTTTCATTTCTACATGAAGTGTACATTCTATCCATTATTATGTAATACGCACTTTCCGAAATTGTGTATTAGGCTTAGCGGGAGAAAATGCCACGGCCTTTTAACACACTCCACATATAACAGCTCCCATCCTGAGGGAGCGCTATCTTCTGCGGGCTGCTATCCCGAACAGGTTAATGACAGAATAATGGAAGCAAACACATAAATTGCACAATATTAATAAGCTATTAACAGATTTAAAAGAAAAATAATTTTGAGTTTTCTGAGAAATTTTAATACCTATAAAAGTTTAAGGAAAAAAAGACATTCAGTTTTCTATGCATTCCGGAATTAAGAATTCAAGAAGATCTCAAATTAGGAAAACCTGAGCATAGTCCATAAAAGGTTTTTTAATAAACTACATTATATAAATATCAATCAATAAACTACAGTATGTTTCTACCTGGGAGAAAAATCAGTATCTATGAAGGTTTGTTTTGTTTATTTGAATAAGCAAAACATATAAGAGCTACCTGCATAAGAAATACCACTATGGAGGACTTTCTAAAGGAAATTATCTTGTATTCATATTATGCAAGGGGAAAACCATGAAAACCAACTATGCATACTGTTCATTTACCTGGTTTCTTCCCAGAACAAACTATGTGCATTCAGAAGTCTTTAACCGCTGGACCACTGATGGGGCTAAGATATTACTGATCTATGATGTTACTGATAACAAAATACTAACGAATACTAGTTCATCCAAATGAAGACTTTTTTTTTTCCATAAAAATTCTCAAATAAAAAAATCTAAATGTTTGTAGCATATTAAAAATATTAATATTTAATTTCAACTTAGCATATATATATATTGGAATTCTCATACTTTTCATACTTCATTAACTTTTAAAGTATTTACTAAGCTTTACCTTTCATGATCATTATTCCCTTTACCAGTAAACTAAACTCAATGGCACAACAGCCCTCGGTGAGCTATGGACTGCAGTGCTCTTATATCTGCTTTCTAGACCATAGGCTCTGGAGTGCATAAGCACATATCCTAGACAAGTGGTCAGCCAGTAACAGGCACTCCCCCCCTCCAGTGTTCAGACCCCAACCAAACTCAGTATTCATTTTATCGACCCACTCAAGGGATGAAAGGCTGAGTCAAACTTGCCAGCCCAGGGATCGAAATCCAACCTGTGGTGTTGCTGAGTGACGCACTAGCCACTGTGCCACCGGGCCTATTCCCTTTACCATATCAAACTTTTAAATAATGTATAATTGAGTGCAGCATGGTTAATATGTGTAGAATAAATATAAGAGCAAAGTACTATTTAGCTTATATCACTTAAATTTTACAAGCTGAATTTAAATAATTATGCTTGAAAGTCAATACAGTATGAACAACATAAATAAAACAGCTCTTTCATTATGACAATCTCTGGCAGTGACCATTATTTTTTGAAACACAAATAAACATTAGAGTATTAAACGTTACCTTCTCAAGATAACCACCTAGACAGAAAACAAAAAATTTCTAGCACCACAGATGATCTTAAAGAGTAATCTTTAAATTTAAAGATTTGTAAATATCTGTGTTTTATAGAGATATTTATGAATGTCTTCAACTAATAAAGATGGGGGGATTGAAGTTACAAACTTGATTTCAAAACCAACCTTACATCTTTTCTGATATTAATTACCTAAAAGGTTACCCACCACCTGAGCTGATAATCCAGCAAAATAAAACAATTAATTTTCTCCTGTATTATGACTACCAGGTAAAACTTAGCATAACTTCTACACAATACAAATGCAGTCTAAATTTACCATTAAACTACCATTTAAATAACTATTGTGATTGCATACATGCTTTTCAAAATTTGTACTTCATTCTATTTCCTTTCTCCAAGATAACAAGAAAAAAAATGAAGAAAGGAAAATACAGCTCATAACTTTGAGTAAAAAGTAAATAAATAAATAAAATCTTTTATAACTCAAGCATAATATATATATTATTACTTTCCAAATATTGTACCACTTCTATGCAATTCTTATAACACTTTATCAGAATGAAAACTCAAATTTAAAAAAATGCAGTAGTATGGTAATACTACAAATGGTTCCATTAATGTGAAATTAATTAATTATATTTGGCCTTCAGAAAAAGATGAATCAGATCACTTAGCTCTCATTCTCTTTTAATTTTTTTTTTTTTTTTTTTTTTGGGTGATACATCAGATTAATCTTGTATGCTAAATTTAAACCTGGTTGGAAGGCAGCATGCTTTCCTAAACCTAGTTGGAAGGTAGAATGCTTTCCTGTACTCGGAATAGTTTACTTTTTATGCACATGCTTTTGCAATCACGTAATTTTAGATCACTTTTGATATCATGCTGATTTTACTTGATCTGCACTTATACCAAGCTGTAAAATTTAATATCTGTCTGTCAGAATGAATAAAAATAAGTGAAATATTACATGACAAGAATAAGAAAATACCTGTAAATACATACTTAACAAGAGCTGGAAAATAGACTAGAAATTCTGGGCAATCAACTACTCCTTCAAGATGGAAGTCATATTTTGCACCAAACAGGGAAGGTCTCTCTTTGGAAGGAAATGTGACAGAATAAACATCATTGCCAAAGCTAAGATCTTCTGTTTCCTCTAGCCTTCGCCTAAAAGACAACAGTAATTACTCTATTAATACATAAACTACTAAACAGCAATACTGGATGCATATTAAAAAATAAAGCTTTTGTCTTATGCTGAAAAATCTGCATACATAACAAAATTAGGAAAAATTTATACTGAATGTGAAATTTTTACTATAAATACCCTATAATTATTTTCATAAAAATCAATAATAAAAATCTTTAAAATGAAAATTCAACAGGGAAGCACAAAACTTTATCTCTGTAAAAATAAAGCATTGAAAGAAAAGTCTTCATACCCTTCCCCACCAAAAAAAATATTGGAAGCCCATATTCACAAGAAATTTATGATTATCATATTCTCTCATGTATAAACTGCAATTTTTTTCAACAAAAAAAAAAAAAAAAAAAAAAAAAAAAAAAATCAGGGGTGCTGTTTATACATGTGAATGATTAGAAACAGATACCTACAAACATGTGGCAATACAGCAGCAGCAGCATGTAATTTAATGACTAAATATGAAATCCATTGCAGTTGGATGAATGTTACATAGAATTGTACATGTTTAGGTGTCGTTGCAGGTCTTGGTGACATGATGTGGAATAGCAATACCAGTGAAACAGTTTATGCCAACAGGAGATCATGATTTCTGATTTGGCAAATGCATTTTCAGAACATTTCACAATCTTTATTATACGAAATTGTGACTAAACATTTGCACTGCAAAAAAACTTTTCTTGATGGATACTGAAAACACTAATGGACCTTCAAAAATGGAAATGCATGGAAGCAGACTTGGAGTTCTTGCAGTGCTATTTGACAGAAGAAAATTATTTTTTGAATTGCCACAGGCTCAGAAACGTGGATTTGTTATGAGACATTTCAAACGAAACGGCAGTCACAGGAATGGTGGCATACTGGTTCCCCAAAATCCAAAAAAGCAAAGCTACCTTTCTTCAAGAAAAATCATGTTTTAGGAACTGTCAAGGGATTTTGTTATTGAACTGGATAGAACGAGGGAATAATTCTATCTTCCTCCATATAGTCTGGAACTAGCCCTCCCCCCACTGGCCAGCACTTTTCATGTGATCAAGATAAATGTCTGAAATTGGTTCAGGTCATAGGTGGCTGAGTTCTATGAGGTAGGTAAATAGTAAGTAGTGGCAAAATATGACACATGCCTTAATATGCAATGTGAATATATCGAAAAGCGGTTTAAGGTGTGTAGATTTTTCTGTAATAAAACAGATATGAAAACAAATTGCTAATTGTTTTTAATACCCAAATGGTACTTACTTTCTGGATGAGCTTTGTATAAATTTTGAAATATGAAATGAGGTCTTTGAAATGTATGAAAGGAAATTTTTTGGTAATAAATGGCCGCACTGCAAAGCAAATTAAAATAGTTATAAATAAAATGGTTGGAATTTAAAACTTTATTGAGAGAGGGGGGATAAAAAGAAATTAAATGTGCTCATGCCAACTACAAATAATTTGATTAAAATAAAATCCCACTCACATTATATCATATGCATCTGGTAGAGTGCCAATGAAGTAACCACCTGGTTTCAAACATTCACTCACATTCTGCAGCATTTTTCTAGCTTGAGTGAGACTTTCAAAGCAATAATGAAATGCAAACTGACAACTTACAATGTCAAATTGAATGTCTGGATTTTTATATAAATCTTTTAAACGAACCTGAAAAAGTCAAAATCACATTAGTTAAAAAAAAAAAAAAAAAGTGCACATAACAGATAATTTAATTGGAACCTAAACAATTAAAAGCATTCAAACTTAACTATCAAGGATATCCACTTCATACATTAGAAAACTTAAAATTTCATCCCTTACATAGTAGTAAGAAATGTATGTACTTTTTGGTCAAATATATACATATATATCACTATTTTTGGAGGGAAAAAAGTTTAAGCATTAAGTTTGGAGAAAATGCTTTATGAAAATTTTCATGAATTGAAATAGCTCACTGAAAAATTTAAATTAAAGGTTGCTTTATCAAACAATTTTACGAAGACACATAAAATTGACCTCAGTGAATGTTGATTATTATAGACTATGAGAGAGAGGGAAAAAACTGAAAAATTTCAGCATTCTGAAATTGAACTAACTGCCTTTTAGGAGTCAAATATAATGGTAAATTCAGTGACAATCTTCTGAATAAAAACCAAATGATTCTATACAAGTACACAATACACAACATTAGAAAAAATCTATATTAATTTAAAACAGATGCTGCAGGTTTTGATAAAATCAGTTGGACATATCACAGCTTAGATGTATTTTTAACTTATATCAAATACTATATAAATTATTAAATAAACCAAACCAAAGTAAAAAGTACGCATAAAGAAGGCTGGTTGTCACTGGTGATCCACAGACTGATAGTTACTAATGTAGGACAACATATGAATTTTGATAGATTATTAAAATAAACTGAAAGGATACCTGTGACTCTCAAAGCCGCTGATCATTAGTGACCTGATTAGTTGATCAATGGCATGAAGCAATGCAGCAAATTTAAAGAGATTAATAAAATAAAATTAATCAACAGCTCACTGTTTCAAAAAAAGTAGGTAATTATCATGTATTATAACATGATAATTAAAAATCATGATAATTAAATACACTTGATAATTTATTGCATTATAGCAATAAATTATCAAGTGTATTTATTGCTTTTTAATCATTCATTTGGTACAGCAATCACTTGCTGGTTAAATTTAAAAAATAAATGTGTTAACCTTTGCCTAAATGTTCTAAAAATTGGCTATTTGCATGCCTATTTATATGGAAAAAAAAAGGCCTTATGTTTTGCATAACAGCAGCACATAAAAAGCTGCATGGATGAAATATGCATAACTTAATATATCAACCAAAAATTTTTAAGACTCTACTAAAGACATTTGATAATGTAAAAAATTTAAAACAAAGGGCATCCTATACGATAATGGTCACCAATATAGAGCAAATTAGTAAATTTAAATAGATTATTAAAATAAAATTAAAAAGGACATCTGTGTCTACTAATCACTGGTTACTTCCACTGGCCTGTGATTATTGTCATTCAGGAACAGTCAACCTGTCCATACATTTTAAGACATTAGTGGTAAGTATTATTTTAATCTAAAATATTATCCTCTTACAATGAAAGCTGATAAATTAACTAGCAATAAATTAAATAATTAAATGTCAGCTACAGGCAGAAGAATTAAATATTCTTTATTAAGAAATTCTAGTCACTTTATATTTTGAAATTGTAATGCTAATCAATATTAAATAATAAAGCAATTTGAAACAAACCCTGGTGCAATCTGTCGTTATAAATTCAGCATCAAAGCAATGACCCTTTTCTCGCTGCCTTTTGTGTCTTTCTTTCATTTCAACATATCGTTGTCGACACTGTTCAACAGAGGTCTCTGCAATATCTGAAAGATGAAAAAGAGATTACTTTATTAATTTAATAATCACATTTTGCTTATAGTGTGTCTCAGTACAATTATATGTGCTTTATCAAATGGTGTCTTACGCAGGTTTTTAAATATTTTTACTTCTAAAACCTTACAGAAACCCTTTAAAAAAAAAAAAAAAAAAAGATTATTAGTTTTGTGCTTATTTTTTGACTGCACATATAGCAACTATAGTTGGCAATCTACCATATCCTATATATATATATATTAAAGTAATTATTGGATTCTCTCCTAGGAAAGAAAATTTAAAATATTAATAAAAATAGCGAATGTTAATAAATTAGTTTAGTAAAAAATATACAGGGTGGTGATAAAAAATTTCCCTGATATATGAACCTCTAACTATCCACTCAACCAATCAAAATGAAATTTCAAATATTGTTATTTGAAGGTGTGCTTGAGACTGTGATGATTTAAAGCAATACAGCTCTCATGGTTATGGTAACAGTGAAAAAATTTTGAAATTTTTTAATGGCAACACCCATTTTTTCTTTAATAGATTGATCAGTGCAATGAAAATTCATAAATGGCATTCAGACAATATATGCATGACAAAAAAATGGCGGCATAAAACAGAAGCGCAAGTGCTCGTAAATGATTGTCTCAACACTCCTGATACTGATATTCACCTCAGCAGCATTTCCCGCACTGTTACTTGCCAGTTCTCAAGAATCATTTGCTCAACTGGTGTGACTGCAGTCGGGCGAACGTGTCCATGCGCTGAAACTAATGGACTAAAATTCTGAAAAACTAATGGACAGTTTTTAATGAAATTTGGTATGAACACACATTTATAACAGAGAAAGAGATGTACCATTTAAAAGTCATTTTATGTATGCATGATTTTTAGTAAAGCTCTAAGTGCAGGGATGTCCAAAATTCAAGATGTGATATCAAATTGAAAATGAGTCTAATATGGGGTACAGTCCCCTCTCACAGCCAGATAGGTCACACTGGACAGAGGCAGTCGAGGAGTCCCTGTGACAGTTGATCCCATTCCTGCAGGAAACCAGTTTTCAACTCCAGAATGGTTCTCGGAGGGCGACGGCAAGATGAAATTGGCCTCCCAAGAGTATCTCAGACAAGGTCAAGAGATCTGGCTGACCAATCCAAGCAGGAAATATCCTCACATTACAGGTAATCACTGACAAGTTGAGCCCTAAGCAGACAAACATTGTCATCCATTAACAAGGACCCAGGACCAACTGTGTCTTTGAAAAGTCAAACACAGCACTCCAAGATCTCTTTTCTGTATCTCACAGCAGTCACGGAGCCTTTGTCAAACACATGCAGGAGCGTGTGCCCATTTGATATAATGCCTGCCAAAACCATTACACCTCCACCACGGTAATGATTCTTTTCTCTTAGAAGGGAGGGATGGTACTGTGTTCCAAGCTCCCACCAGATACAGGTGCACCAAGAATCAGTGTCCAGCCTGAATCTTGACTCATTTGCTAAAAAGTACGATGCTCCACTGAAGTCTGAGCCAAGGTGCATTTTGTCTGCACCATGCTAAATATGGTCTCTTGTGTGCTGCAGCAATACAGCCCCATCTCATGAATACAGCAAGTGTAGACCACAAAAGTAAGGTTCCAACGGCAGCATACAGTTCACACAAGAGCTGTGAAGATATAAATGGTACTGAGCTACTGCATTGAAAGTGCCAAATAATGATTCTCATTCATCACTCTGGATCTTGAACAACCTTATCCAGGTCTTCTCAATATGGATCCAGCGTCCTGGATCTGTTTCCTCAAATTACAGACAGCATTGAACTTGTTGAGGATGTTACACAGAGCTCTTTAGCCACTTGTGCTTGGCTTGCCACCAATCTACCAACAATTCTCTATCTCATTCCATCATCCATATGTTTGTGGCCACTCATTTTACTTGATACCTCAAAAAATTTACCCAACTCTTGTGAGAAACACAGCAAATTTCAAGAAGAAGTATGTGTACACAAATCACCAAACTCCTCATGCATTTATATCCCCCTCCACAATCACAACTCTGCAGATATATGCTTATATATTCAACGCTGAATATTTGCATAATTCATCGGTGGCATAAATAGTAACTCTGGTTCAATATACTTTTCATAAAAATAGACATAATTCACACATTCTATTAATTTTGCATACCAGTGTATATACATAAAAGAAAGTGATTCAAAATACAAAACAAGTGAAAACATATAACAATTATTTAATGAGCACATATTGCAGTATAAAAGAAGTGTAATGTATTAAAGTAAAATGCAAAATATTGAAAATTTTCAAATTCTTCAACACATTTAAAAAAATATTAATAAGAAATATAAAAGTTTTATCATTCTATATTTTACTATATGATATATACACACACTATACCATTCAAACAAAGGACAAACTTTCAGATTACTTTTTCAGGAACGCATGGTTGTTCACTAAAAGTGAAAAGTGTACAAAGTCATCTGATTGAAAGGTAAACCATTAAAACTTTCTCTTTCTTTCATTTAAGTTTATCTTCTTTTAAGTTTATCAAATTTAATTTTCTTTTTTCATTTTCCATTTCTTTTAAGTTTATCAAGTTGAAAACATTTGGATCTACCTAAGAGTCCACAAAAATACCTATTTTTGCAAGCATCAGCCCATCCCACTAGCTGTTTTCAATTCTTCTCCCAAAGACGATATTTTAATCTTTTTTTTTTTAATGTTCTCTCTCTTTTGAAGGAAAAGGGAGAGAAGGGAGAGTACGGATGGCTTCTTTTTTATCTCAATTTCAGTCCTGAATTTGACTGAAGAATTTTTTAAAAATTTCACTTTATCTTATGTAATTAAAAAAAAATTTTTTTTTTACTATAAATAAAATCTCTATTCCATAAAAAGGGAAGATTCTTATCTCTAACAAGGTTTGCAACAGATGTCAATCTTTCGTCAATACTTTGCCAAAGATGACTTGGAGTGTGTCACTACTACAGAGGGGATGGAGAATAAATTAATATAATTCTATTTCTCCTAATGTTGCAATCAGTTGTCAAAGGGAATGGGTGGGTGGCGTTCATACCCGAGAACATATAAGGAAAACTGGTATTTGATCTAAGGAGCGGGCGCCGGGACCTGACCTGAAGGATGAATATCCGGAACCGGCTGGAACCAACCGTGTGCGGAAGGCAGGAGACCTGGCGTTCGACTGAAGGGCAGGGGTTGAGAGAATGTAGACAGGGAAACCTGCTCTTGTACTCCTCAGTTCAGCATTGGCCTCCTCGTGGCGCCTGCTGATAACTGTGTTGGCTGGCACAGGCTAACGATGCTGGAACCCATCCCTTGGGATCGACTGGTAGGAATTTCCGGAACCGAACATTCTTGGGAGGAGACCCGGGGTTCTTCCAGACCACTGGCTGGACTTGTACCCTGACAGCTTCGGTTCCTTGGATATATAATCAGTCTTCCCAGTGACTAGAACAATCATTCATATTGTGGTCGGTGCAGGCTTGCCAGGGACCATACTGATACTATCGTGTCTGTGACCTTGAATATGGGGACGTTGGATGTAGATGTTAAGGGCTGTCCAGGGAGGAGTTGGGCTCCAGGTCAAGGCTCGCCGATGGATGATGGCAACATGTAAAGTCCATGTAAGTTGATCGGGGGGTATGGCGCCACTCCGGACAGCCACCAAGGGCTGGATTATTATAACATGTATGGCAAAACTGCTGGGTAACGGTGATCTACTCTTGGCATAATGTCAAAGGAAACGGTGATCGTAAACATCTTTTTGATTTGGTGATGGGCAAATTTTCTAAAGTTCATTTTAAACTAGGTTACTCACACTCAATCCATATTCTAAAATTTAGAAGCGTTTATAGTCTTTGAATGAGTACACAATGGCAAGCCGTGATAACAAAAAAAAAAAAAAAAAAAAAAAAAACAAGGAAAAGTGCGATTTTTTCAAGAAAAGTGATCAGATCTTTATTTTTTTGTTGTACATAAGGGTAAGGCAGTTCGCCTTATTTACTACTACAGTGTAGCTGTGATGAAGGAATATAACTTTAATAGGCAATATGATACTAAGCATAGTGAGAAATATTCTGCATTGGAAGGTCATTTTTGAAGTGATAAGGTGAGTGAATTAAAATCAAAACTAAATTTTCAGCAGTCTTTCTTTACCACAGTGAATAATGAGCTTGCATTAGTTACATGATAGCAGAAAAAAATTGCTAAGTATTGGAATATTTGTAAAAGAATGCCTTCAGAGTGCAGTTGATGTGCTTTGTCCATCACAGGCTCAAGCCAAATCGAATATTAGCTTGTCTGGCGTGACAGTAGCGAGACGCACAGAGGATCTCACAACAAATATATTCAGTAAATTAAAATCCAAATGCAAAAAAAAATGAGTTTCATTCTGTAGCGATGGATAAATCAACAAATGAAACAGATACTGCACAAGTAGACATTTTTATTTGTGGCGTTGAGAGTCTTCACAATTATAGAGGAATTAACCAGTGTTGTTGCACTTAAAGGAACAGATTTTTATTCGAGTCTGACATAAACTTTGGATAAATGTGAGTTAGACTTCAGTAATATATCTGCTAAAAGCGCGGATGGTGCTTAATCTATGACTGGAGAGAAAATAGGAGTAACAAAATTACTCAAATCTGATGTGAAGGCAAGTGGAAATAACACTATGATGACTTTCCACAGCATCAATCCACCAAGAAAATGCGTGCAAGAAGTCCTTCTCAAATTTTCAACATGTGATGAATGTTGTAAAAGTGGTTAATTTCATTCGGTCTGAAGGACTTAATCATAGGCAATTTCAACAGTTCTTGAGTAATTTGGGAGCTGAATATGGTAATGTTGTGTATTACGTAGAAGTACATTGGTTGAGCCGAGAAAAGATGCTTCAGCAACTGTTTTCTTCAAAGAGCAAAGTTAAAAAATTCATGGAATCTAAATGGAAATCTATTCATGAAGTTTAGAGATGAGAAATGGTTGAAAGACTTTGCATTTTCTTGTCGATATTACAGGCCATCTCAATGAGTTGAACTACCGCTTACTGGGAAATGATGTACTTTTCATAATCTTTATTACTTTGTGAAAGCTTCTGAGATAAAATTAATCCAGTGGGAAAGTCAGTTGTTAAATAAAAATTCTACTCACTTTCCAAATTGATGGAGTGTCTGAAGAACTGTCAAACATGGAATTCAATTACTATGTATAATGCATTTGAAATTTTGAAGAGGAATTCAAAAGCCGATTTTCGTGAAATGAAATTCTTATGAGAATGTTCTCCTCACCATTTTCAGTAGATGTTGGAAGTGTTTCACCTGAACTTCAATTAAATTTATAGATTTACAGTGTGACTCTACAGTAAAATGCAAGTTTCTTGAAAATCCTACATTAATTGATATTTATTCGAAGTATGTGACTGAAGACAAGGATCCAGGTGTTAAGTCATTAAGACTATTTAACTGTAAGATTACGTCATTTTTTCTCTTCTTGGCGCCTTGCATGGCGCAGATGTTCATTACAGCAACCCTGTAAACGCTTACTCAGTTTTTTTTATTGCTGTTGTTGTTAGTAGTAAGTCATCGCTTGAAAGATGGCACGCATTTGATTAAAGTTGTCGAATAAAATATTTAGTACAGTCCACTTCTAGTTAATTTGAAATTGTTGTATAACAACGCACGCATCGCATGAACACTTTATGGCCCGCCGAGCCACAGGTAAAAGATATCGTTGCTAAAATTAACTTTTTAGAACATTTAGAATACTTTCGTTTGGTTGTATTACGCATAACTTCATATAGAGTGTTTGGAATGCTTTCGTTTTCGTGTGGATTACGCAATTAAGATTGGAATACTGTGTCATCGTTCATTTCCGGTGTTGCTGTCGAGAAATCTGCAATCACGGTAAGTGATAAATTATTTATTTGTTCATGATGAGTGAATTGAAAGCGATTAAAGCTAACAAAAAAAGTTTAAAATGCAGTATCAGAAAGTTTGAAAATAAGGTAAATTCTACAGTGGATGAAGCAGATATTTCCTTATTGGAGTTATACGAATCAAAAATATTAGAATTTAAAAAGGAATTAAGTAACATTTTCGATTATTTATTTGCACATTGTGAAGAAAAGGACACTGACGAATTCATTAAGGAAAAGGAAAATGTAGTAGATAATCTCGATGAAATTCATTTGAAAATTAAAAGAAAAATTTCTGAGATCCGTTCTCAAAGGAATAGCTGCTCAAATGAAAACGGTTCGAGTAAAGACATAATTGTTTCGGATATAAAATTGCCTAAATTGTCTCTTCCAATATTTAGTGGGAAAATCGAAGAATGGATTGAATTTGAGGATTTATTTTCCGCAGCTGTGCATAAAAATAGCAAATTAACTAATGCGCAAAAATTGCAATATTTAAAGAGTTCGTGTAAGGCAGATGCGTTAAATATTATTCATTCCATTCCAATTTCGGAGTCAAATTATGACATAGCATGGAAGC